ACTTTAAAAAGAGGCAAAACACACTAAACTCTCATGCATGATTTCTATGGGATCATATTTCCAAAGGGATTTTAATTGAGCACAAGTACTTGCTGACATGATGAGCTGTGGGTGGAAGAGAGGGGATCCAACCACCTGATGGCACAGGCAGTTATCTTGTAAGCACTGCTAATTCCGTATGTCAATGTGTGTCTGTAGAAGATGAAAATTTTTATCAGTGGTAAGGCCGATTTCTGTCTCATATGCTGCCCTGTTATGAATAGTTTTAATCTGTATTTCATTATTATACCGTGGCCATGTCTAGATTTAGATGGGGCTTAGGTGCATTGTATGGTGGCTAAAGTCTCTTCATCTCTTGCCAAGCTCTGCCTGGACTTAGTGACAAATTCCTGGCTGGGGTCTACTAATCATGGACTTCAAACAGAGTCAGTAGTCTTGAGCTGTGTCTGAAGAGAATTCAGCGTATTTCGTAATAAGGTTATCCTAGCTCCCTTACATTTGATAGTCTACTTTTAGCTGCTTTGGTTTTCAGGACAAATCAGAAGATTGCTCTGAGACTATTGAGTACCTGATGGGGTTGAAGGCAGTTCAGATACTTGCTGCTCAGGCTGGCTCTGCCGTGCAGCCTGCCGGTTGCTGTATTTCTGCTTCATTCGTTAGGATTTACAGTATGCCAAGGAAGCCAGCCTTTACCGACTGAAGCGGTGTGACGCTGCCTTATTTTATGGGTGGATGGGAGTATTTCAGGTAGTTTGGTGGCTTATTGGAAAAGTCCATCTAACCTTCTCTCTCTGAGAGCAGGCAGCAGGAGGTATTTACATGGGTGAACTCAAGATTTTTCTCACGTGAAGTCTGTGGGATGCCTTATGTGTCAATACTGGATTGCTCATTGCTTTGCACTCGTTATTGACAGTTTTCTGTGGTTCAGCGTGTAAGACTAGATGGCCTGGTCCAGAAAGCATAGGCTGGAGCAGCGTGCGTGCTTGGAAAGGGGAGAAGACATTAAGGGAGTCTTGATTTGCAATTGCAAATGTGTTAGTGGCCATGTTCCAAAAGGCCAACCTCTGGCATCCTTCTGCAGCCCCAGATCTGCTCTGGCTTCTTGGCTCTCCAGTGCACTCACCCAGCCCTTATGGTTCTCATAAGCTGCTGCAGGCATCCATTCACCTTGTGTCCTCCCTGATGCTCTGCCAGACCTCTGCGTGCCTTCTTCTGTATCCTCCCGGCTCTGTCCTTTTTGTACCAGTGGCTGAAATTAAAGCACTTAAAGGCTCTAGAGATTTACCAGGCTTTTATGCTGGTTTCCAGCTCAACTTGAGTTTATTTTTCTTCAAATATATGAACCACATAGGAAAAGCTACATTTCAGAAGTTAGGTTGATGTTTTTCAAGTGTCGGTGAATTTGATATACTTTTCAGGCTAACGTATCAGATCTGTGCTTCGAGTGAGGCTGCCTTTGTGTGTCATTTATGGACTTGGTTGACTCTTACCTTTCCCCTGGGTTGTAACAGTGTAAAACGGCAGCAATGGGTGGGACTTAAGAGTGACAGCACATCGTATACCACTCACTTATCTGACAAAACTTTTCAAAGTTTGGAAAGCGATTAGAAACAGTTGTTTTTACTAATACAACTAAACTTGGCTTAAAGCATCAAAAGAGAATCACATTTTAGACTCCCAGGAAATACATCAGTGTTGATGCTGTGCATGGCTTTTAAAATCAAAACATTGAGAATAATAATCTGAATTTATAATGGAAAACCCTGCTCAGATTCCGGGTTGACAACTGACTGACAGCTGTGTGTCCTCCAGGTGCCACAGAATCCAATATAGTTGTATTTTCTCTAACATTTGGTATACCAGCTTATCCCAATATGTTCCACAGAGATAAACAATAAAGTTCGGGAGTTAAATAAATAACTTTAGAGATAAGCAACTTTAGCAAAGGACGAAAGGTTTGCTTAGCAATGACATTTAACAATAGGTGGAGATATGCATTTACTTATTCATTTTCCAACAGAAAACAGGCTAGAAATGGCAGTAACACAGAGCAGAGTATCTCTGAAGAGTGACAGATTAGGGCAGCAAAGACAGTTTCTTACGACAATCTTAATGCAAGCAGTAATAAAGCTCACCGATTCCAGTGAGAGCAGAGCGAGGCCAATGCCAGAACTGTTGGGAAATTTAATCTGAAGTATTCAAAAGAGAGAGTCCCTGAACCAAAATAAAATAAATAAATGGGGAAAAAAAAAGGCAAATGGAAGGTGAAAGTGTGTCTGAAGGAAATACAGAGAAGTCAGTTTTGGGTGGCAAAATACAAATGCACTGAGTTCAAATGAGATTAATGTTAATAGTGGTCAAGCTAATACCTTTGATAGAGAGAAAGAGGAGTACAGTATGTTTATAAAAAGCTTATGCTTTCATGTCTGGATCCTGTAATATGATCCACTTACGTGCTATGAGCTGTGGTAAAGAGATCCAAAGGTATTTGAACCTTCTAGTAATAAACAGTGTTCTTCATACTGGAATGTACCGGAATTACAGAATATAGAAAAATATATCCCAGAAGTGTCTCAGTGCACTAACTTTGCGCGTGTAGAAGTTTGTCTTGGAATGGATCAAAAAATAATGTTTTTCCCCGGTTAACATAATTTATTCTGCATTGTTGCATATATTGACAAATTTTAAGGCTCGCAGTTTAACTGTGATAGTAAGATGAGTGACATGATTGTTTTTTGGTTACATTCCCGTTTTAAGTTAGAGTAAGAGGAAATCCAGTTAGATACTGTCATATCAGCAAAGGTTGTATCACACAGCTGCCTGATGTAAACCTGTCAGCTCTTGTTGGAAGAAATGGGTTTATTTCATTACTCAATTATTTTGAAGATCTGACCAGTTAAGTGCAAGCTGTTTGATAGACATTCTCTCCTAAATCCAGGAAATCAGTTAAGCATTGCTTTTTTTTTCCCCACAAATGTGCTTCCAACCCTTTGAAAGCATTATTTGACAAGGACATGTACATTGCTATAACTTTATCATTGCTTTCCATTGAACTGACAGAAGAAACAATAATCTCATGAAAGAGCTTCAGTACAAGGGCAGATGTAAACGTCTGAATCTAAGGAGCCCAAGAGATCTTATTTTATAGTGTAACCAGACTGTAGTAGTAGTAGGAGTAATAATAAGAAGAAACCTTAATAGAATAATGCAGTGTTAGCAGCTAGACAGTTAGACAGTAGCCCGCAACTTAATGCTTTTGAACTTGAGAAGCAGCCTTCGTTAATGTAAGTGCCTTTCTTCTGCATGCATGTTTTATTTCAAATTGGAAATACTTCCACCGAATTTCTTGGATTCCACTTTCAGAAATTATTTACTCATGCAGCAGTAGCAAGACTTGTGCAATGTCTTAGCATTTTCTAACCCAGCAAGATATTAATCATACTGTTGAACCTCGTAATGTAACATTAATACTATTATGATGGGAATAGTTCATACAACAAGCATGGTTAACCACTGTTCTTACTTCCTTTTTCCTGGATACCCTTAGTTTGCACATGGATGACAAAAAACAACACTGATGTTCAGCAACATCACAGTATTCCATTATATTCATCTCAGTCAATGTATTCTTCATTTTATTATTGCCTGCATTCTTTAATTGAGTTAATTTCCTGAGGAACTCCATCACACCACCGGCCTCCACCAGATTTCCTACTCGTGGATGTTACCACTTGAGTTGCAGTTCTGATATTTCATTATTTGTTTTGTTGGCAGGGAAGGAAGAAAAAAAGCTTCAAAATAGCTGAGTGCCAGTAGTGCTGGCGACTTCTGTTTTCTTTTTGTTTTGTACTGAGCCATCGTGAATCACAAAGTATGTCTGGGACACAGTCGTGGGCAATGCTCGAAGTGTTATAGCTGGAAAGGTGCCAAAGTTGCATTGCTACCAACTTTTTACCATTAGCCTTCTGGAAGGAGGGATTCAAAGTCTCGTTTTATTCTCTTCTTCATCAGTGTCACCTTTACACTAAATTAATGTGAGATCTTTATCAGAGATGGAGCTGACAGGATGAGTTGTTGATCCTACAGTTCCTTGACACAGCAGGAGCAGAGGAACAAATCCCATAAAATGTAGAAGCCGGTTTCTCTTTGGATTTGAGCTGCGAGGAGTCAGGAGCATCCTTTGAGACAACTGAATACCCGTGCTTTCAGCTGAAGCTAGTGTGGTGGGATTGCATTAAGCCAAGCTGACTAGAAAACAGTGAGCTCGATCCTGAGGATATGGCAAAATGCAGCAGCTGTTGCCTACTCAGCTGTATGGGGACTAATGTCCAAGGCTGTAATTAGAAGATATACCTGCTAATGAATTGGTGTAATCCCCAGCTGTGTTTAGAGTCTGCTGTGGGATCTTTTTTCCTGCATTTACAGAGGAGGTTGACCTTGTTAAATACTTAGCAATAAAAATGTGTTTTCCCTTGCTTGTTTCACAGCCTTTCTTCTGGCTCTACCAGTAGAGCTCCTCTGTATTAGTCAAACACGTTTAACCCAAGTTTAGCTATAGGGAAAGAGGGAAGTTACGAGACTATATATGAACATGTTACATATACCTGAGTGTGGTGTACATGTCTGCATGGGTGCACGTGTGTATGGAATTTTGATTTCTTAATGGTCACACTAGCAGTAAAAATAGAAGAAATTTAATATTTAAACAAGGAGATATGGTTTCAATTATTTTTAAGTCACCAGACTCTTTAAATATTTAATCTTTTCTATTCCCAACTAATTTCTTCAATGGCAGTTAGGTAGTTGTAATTAATTTTTGATGAGACAAACTAATACTAATTTGAATATCTACTATACTGTAATATTTGCTTGCAAATATGTCATTCAGCTTCTAGATACCTCTTTTTGCCCTATCTAAAGTTGCAAATGCTCACCAGTATTGTCATATCTAGCCACAAGGCCCAAGCTGTACCTGAAGCTGTATGACACCCGAGTACAAGGATGACTGTGCTGGACCCTGACAGTGATCAACAGCTGATGCCTAAAGAAGAGTATGAGAACAGGGCAAAGGTATACAAGGCCTCCTGTGAGAGAGTCTCCCAGCCTTCACTGATTTGTGGTCTGGGAACATCTCAAGATAGAAGTGGTGTCTTCAAGTTTAATATTTGATCTGATTTGTTACATCTGAAGTGTATAGTTATTTTGTATAATTCATGCCTTCTATCAGTAAAGGACTGAGACTCCTCCAAGGGAAATACTCTCTTTTTACTGGAAAAATGTCTTGTCTGCCTTTTCTGATTAATGAGAACATCTATATGGCTGCTTTTCTGACTTGAAGACTGATCTGATACCACTTAACTATGCTAATTTAGGAATGCACCTGAATATTCAATCCAGGGCTCCAGAAACTGAATGTAAAAATCTGAAGTGGTGGGATAATGGAAGTAATTTGTAGTTTGTCGGCAGTTACCTCCACATATCTGATCAAAGCAGCATGGGGGGGGGACAAAATTTTAGAACCAAAACTAACTGAACTGGTGGGATTTCTAGTACATGGGGCATTTCTGTAAGTTCAGAGTTGGTTTTGTTTCAGAGAGGAGCAATGCCAGCTCCTACAGCAGCTGCAGACTGAAACAAATGTTTTTTTTGTCAGGGATGCTGCTGTCTGTCTCACTCCGCAGCCATGGGACGGTCCTGGGGCTCTGGGCTTGGGCAGTGGCTCCAGCAGACCACCGTCAGCCCAGGCTTTTCCAGCCCTCGGGGTGGTTGCTCACTAGAGCTGCCCAAAGTCGAGGAGGTCCGAGGAGCATCTCAGGAGCTGTGATGGGCTCTCCAGGTTCCTCAACTGTGAGAGGGAAACCAGTTGCCTGCTAGGACACTCACCACCAAGTCAGTAGTGGCTTACTGAATGTGAAGGGGTTTTTCCGCAAAATCATGTGGGTTTGGGCAACAGGACTGGCATACATTCTTTTTTTTTTTTCTTTTTTTTTCTTCTTCTCCTGGAAGTTTCTGAGCCAACACAAATTATAGCTCATGAGGGTTTCCTTGCATTATTTTTTAGTAGCCTTTTACCTTACTATATTGCTGACTAGGAATGGTCCCTGGCCTGCCTCCCTCCCTCTGTATTTGTGTGATGCACGTCATCAAGCACGTTGCATTCAGGTTGGAGCATCTGCACCTTGCTGCTCGCGGGAGTCCTGGCCACAGATTTCATTTCGTTACGTTGTACCATCTCTCTTGTATCAGAGAGATGGGAATGGTGCACAGTCATTGCATTTTGTCATGACCAAAGTTGATTTCCCCTCCGTGTCCACACCTCCCGTTACTTCCCATCCTCCTGCATTACTTCATGTTCGTAGTACTCTGCACTTTCAGTCTGGATCAGGCAACCGCTTGGCAGCAACATTTTCCAGCCCGCTGCTGCTGTGCTCTCATTCCCATAACGGTAGTGGTTGGGCGTGAGGGAAGCTGGGTTTTTTTGTCTTCACCAAGAGCTGGAAGTGCATGCTTCTGCCTGTACTGTAATTTATGATCCACCCAGCAGTGCAGGAATTCAGACAGTACAGAAACTCTATGCGCATGCATAGCAGCATATTAAGGCAACGTGCCAACTTCTTAGCAAAGAGATTTGCTTCCGATGAGCATTGGCAAGCTGTACTAAATAGGAACTTTCAAAAACACATCTTTTCCAACCTGGGACCAGGCTCCTGCACTCAGCTTGCAATGATGATCTAGTCCTATTATTGTTACTTCTACTTCTCAACTCAGCTGATGCTATAGTTAATGCACAAAAATGTAGCACTGATTTTCTTTGTGACTATTTTGCGTTACAATTTATGAGCAAAAATGAAAAAGTAATTGTAACCGTGGTGTCCGGAGAGAGAAATCCCTTAAAAGCAGTAGAATTAGGTCTTGCTGCTACCTGCAGATCAAACTACTGCAGCATCAGCCATTTCTATACCTGTAAGTCATTCAACAGCCATTTCAGTTGGCGGTCTGATTTTTCATGGTTAGCCTGGGACAGGGACTGTGAAGGTCCACTTTTGTCCTTCATGTCTGAGTTCAAGACAGGCAGAAGGTCTGTAGATGTGTGCTAAGAAATGGATGGCTCTGCCATCCGGACTCCTGTTGTGGGTATCTCACAAGCTGTTCCACTTGTAGAGCCTTTAGGTGTGGTATGTAACATAAACCACTTATACAAGGTCCAGTGAAGTAATTAGTGCTAAATAAAGTGAATATATTTGATTGCTCAGATCTGTGTGACCCTGCTTGCTATGTGGGCTTTTGGTAAAAATAATAAAAAAGAGAAAGCAGTATGATGCTAGCTTTCAATATGGACAGTTTTACATGCTGATTACTGAAATCTTCCTTCTTGCAAACCCAAAAGCTAATGGGTTTTCCAGATAGCTGTAACCTGTTCATGGATTCAGGATTTTTTGTGAAGACGTAATGGGATTTTGTGGTATTTCGAGCTGCCACAGGCTTTCTGCTGTGTAGGAGATCTCTAGGGGATAAATATGCCTGCATATTTGTTTGGTTTTTTTTTCTTTTTTCTTTGCTCTTTTTGCATTTCTAGGCGAAGCTAGAATACGTTCGCGGCTGCTGTATTGAGTTAATGTTAGACAAAGCGTCTCTAAGCCCGATTTAAGGACACAAACCACCTAGTGCGTATGTATCTGACCTAGAGAGGTTGTGGATCCTGTTCTTTGCTCAGTCCTCACCTGCTTTGTGCTGCTCTGCCTGGTCTTGCTTTGCAGGCTGTGCTGTCTGGGTAGGGGAAGAATGGTCCTTTGAGTGTTTTCCCATGTGTCAGGGATTAGGGATGATTCATGCAATGACAGCAATGAACATTTGAACTTCTCTGTGCTTGTCTAAGGTTTTTGGTTGCTGGCGGCGTTGCTGCCAGGCGGTTGTCTCCATTACTCTCTTCTGACCTGGGTGTCCGCAATGAGGCTCCCATGTCCATGTTCAGTGCCAGGGTCTGACCTCTTGGAAACACCGAGCACAGCTAGCAGTGATAGTGAGCTAGAAAACATGGCGATGCCGAGACCCCACACTCCCAGAAGAGCTCAGGCCATTTACCTCTCTCTGATAGTCGCTTTGGAGACTGAGCTTCGGGAACCCATTGCTGTGTGTTGGGCTGACAGTCACCACTTCCATCAGCTGTAAGGTCCTACCGTGATTGCCTGTTTAGGAGCTTTGAATTCCTCAACTGAGAGGCATTTTAAGAGTGCAAAGTATTAAGACTGGGGTGATGTCTCTGGTTTTAATATGAAAGTCCTGTTATTCTGCAGAAATGCCATAATGAATTAAAATATTCCCTATGGAGAAGTGTATTACTTTCTTAGTACAATATCAGACTGGAATAATAAGCAGCTGGGCTGGCATTCATTTTCTGGTGTAGGGACACTATTAAAGTACTGTAAAGCAAGAATAGCTTTGCACCACAATTCTTGAATCCAAAGATTGCCCTCTGAAGGTGCCACACATGATGGATTGTCACAGACTCTTTGTCCTGCCTTGACATTTAGTTCCTATCCGATGTTGTCTTATGTTCTGCTCTGAATCTGCCAAACAACTGACCCTAGAATTTAATGCCACACCTTCTTCTCTTTCCTTTTTCTGAACAGCATCTTTTGCAGCTGAGGCTCTGAAATACTGGAGGACACTGCATCTTCCTCAGGGACACGGACAAGGGGGAGCTGGAGCCTCTGGGGAGCTCAGAAAGGAATTGTGGTTGGTGGTCGCCTGAGGAACTTACCTTCACACCAATGTTGCTCTGAAACGAGTTGTGTCCAACATTCAGGTTTGGTAAGGTATGTCATTTTTCCCCTGCTCTTGTCTTTTTGCTCTTTTCTGAATATCTGCATATGGGGAAAATACAAAATTAGCAGCCTTCGTGTTTATTGCTGTATGTGTGCCATGCTCATACTGCCTCCGTAAATAACCTTTGCTCTCCCTGAATTTGGAGAGCGATTATCAAGAGTGAAGTGTTTTTAAAGTCTTGGGCTTGAGGGGGTGCGTGTTCATATCAAGTGCTTTATTGAACAAAATGCTCATTGATGGTTGTGTTTTGCTGTTGGTGATGTGTACTTGGTGATAGGCATCTGCATTTTGAAAGTCCCACTTGTTGTGTTTCACTAATGTCTGCAGTCAGAGGGTCAGAGACAAAAAAAATAAATGATGCTGAAGTAGCCCATACCTGTGCTTTCCTTTGTGCTTTGTATATTCGAGACAAAAAAAATAAATGATGCTGAAGTAGCCCATATAGCCCTGTGCTTTCCTTTGTGCTTTGTATATCCTTGATGTTTGCCAAGGACGGAAATAATACCAATTTCTTGCACAATCGTATGTGCCCCCTTTGTTGTGTAGCACTTAAAAATTTTTGCATGTGTGGAGGTTCTCATATCCACACAAACATTGCCTTGGTTACGCTGTAACTGTAGCAAGCCAGTATGCAACATGTCTTTTAACAAGAAATTGAGGGCCAGGACTTGAGGAATGTATTGCGGACAAAGCTTGCGCTATGGAAGCATTTAGGGTAATATAGCCTCTGATAATACAGCTGCTTTTATCTAGGCCAAGTTATTTCTGTGGAGGCAAAGTTTGCTGATAAAAACCCCCAAATTTTAAAGTATTGGTTCCCAGATCTCAGTAGAATGGTATCAGATGACACTATAACCTTTTTCATTTAACACATGGGTATTGACTTCTCTTTCATGGCTGAACCAGCAGTACAGTCTTGTTGAGAAAAGTACAGCAGCAATATAACACCCATACTTGGTGTTGGGGGGGGAGGGGAAGGTCAAGACTTTTAAGAAAGTCTCTAAGAAAACATGAGGCATCCAGGTGAGTGTGCATTCATTCTTCTGCTTTTGATATGGTTGCACCAGTAGTGTTACCTCTGGAAACTGTAGGCTCAAACTCTCACGCTTCAGCAGAGCTCTGCTGGTCTGGAGACTGCCTGTCTTCAGCGATTGCAGAAAAGGTTGGTGGGAATAGCTTAAATTAGGTGCTTAACTTTTAAGTGTTGAGGGTCAAGAAAGGTCTGTTCCAACCACAGCATATGGTGTTAATTTGTACAGGCATTTCAAGAAAACAACACTGATGTCAGGGAGGAGAGGTTCCCATCATTAAAACCGCTGCAGCGCTTGCTCCGTTTGTCTGTCTGCTCCGATGGCACCTGGTTTCTAGAAGAGGAGGTTGTTAAACATTGCTCGTGCTTTTGTCATCATCTTCACTTTTGTTTATTTCCAAGCTGCTGCTCTTGTGATTATAATACCTACAGGGGAAAGCTGTAGGAGAGGTATTTCATAATCAAGAGGGCTTCTTGACTCTTGTGGAGAAATATTTTGCACTATTATGATGTAGAAATCACATCACTTTGTTTATTCCTGTTTCTGTGTGAGATTTGTAGGTGAAATCGTGTAAATCTTCCTTGCAACGAACGTGTGTGTTTTGCAGGGTATGCAGGGTGCCCCAGGGTGTGCGAGGATCTGCACCAGAGCGGTTGGTTGCTGATGTGACCGTGGTGCTGACCCTGCCTTGGGCAGGACGGTGGTGAGACGAGCCCCCCACATCCTTCCCACCCAAGTCGGTCCAGCTCTCAGTCTAAGATTCATGTCTCAGGCTGCAGCATGAGTAGCACTCCAGTGCAGAGGTTGTGCAGGACTTTGCAGAATCTCACAGTTTCAAAGGACAAAGAGCATTTTCCATACAATTGATTTATGTGAAACTTATTTAGGCACTAAACTCTAGGCTGGACTTGGGTTATATTTTTGCATTTTACTTTGTGACCATCAGATCTAAAAACTTGGTCCTTATTTAAGGAAAGCTCACATTTATGGAAACTTGATCTTTAAGAACATTGCAGATTAAGAAGATTGTGCTAAAGTTTAAAGAGTTGGCAACACTGCTGATGTTCATTCGAGTAGCTGAGACCCTTTTTTATCCTTTCTCTTCATCTTGTGGGCTCACGCAAACTTACCAGAAAAATTGACTACCATCAACTTTATCTGTTCCCCTGACACCCTTGTAAGACAGAAGTGCAACTTATCCCGATTTTACAGATGGTGAATAAGGAACAGAGTTACTTGTAGGTCACTTTTAAGCAGTAAACATCTGTCTCTGATTTGCATGCAATCACAAGTGCAAAAGGTGCATCTGATACCCACAGCTGGAGGCATGAAGATAGCCTTGTCTGAGCAGCTGAGTCTGTAGGGCAAAGCACGAGATTTGGATGTGGATCTGTTTGAGGTCACTGCTCCAATCTAAGCCAGTTTCTTCCATGTGTCCTGCTCTCCCAGGTAGAGGGGTTTTTAATTAAGTAATTACAGTAACGCCAGATGACATCAGGACCCACGTTTGCTCCCTATCTCTGCTGGAAATGGCAACATATGTCCAAATAATGTTAGCTAAACTCGTTCATCTTTGCAGCAGAACGTTGTTTGCTCGTGTGAGACAAGCAGATTCCCTTTTAGCAGCATTTATGCAATTGTGGTGATGGCAATCTTATTGTGTAAGGGATTAATTTAAACGGATCTGTAGATAACATGCAGAGTAATATATTTTTCTTAAATTGCTCATTTTTTAGATTAGTAGAATCCGGTTAGTAAAATGCTCTGTTCTGCTGAAAAAGCACATTTAATAAATATGTAAGAGAAAAATTTTAAGTACCCATTAAACATAGTTAATAAATTTTATCTTGCAAGTGGAATTGGAAAAAACCCTGTTCATTTAATGTGTTTTATGGATCTCGTAGCAATTAATTGTCTTCATTACATGGACATAAATCCTCAATGTAATTCACCTTTTTCAGATTAATTGCTTTGGAACTTTTCCCTTTGCTTTGTTTAGGCTGTAATATTATTTCTCTTTCTTAAAAGTTGAATCTCAACATCGCGTTTTTGCATCGCATTTTTTTACCATTCCCAAATATTCTGTAAATCAGTTCAAGTTAACAAAATCTCTTTGCGTTACAGAACGGTGCAGAGGTAGTGTTGCAGCTGTGATGGTCTGATGTAGGTGAAGCAGAGAGCTTGCATATTCAAGTCCTTCTTGACCTATAGCAGAGCAGTGGGCAGGTGTCCTTTTCTCACTCCCTATATTATGTGGTCTGATAAAAAGTTATTATTTCTCTTTTAAAATCTGTCTTGCTTCTTATGTGATTTCATTTATGAAATGAAAAACAAACACTGATTTTACGTGCCTCTAGGTTTGGATGCCAAAATAAGACCTTAATGCAACTTTCCAATGGCTTGATGAGGGGTGCAGGTCTACTGGCTGTGGGTAAAAATGTGTCAGTAAAATTGTCCTCCTACATTATTGAAGGACAAGTTCAGTTGGAGCGTCACAGGATGTCTGCTTGAATTCCCAAAGTTAAATTCAAAGCTTTATTTTGAATAAAGTCTTTATTCTTCTTGACTGAATTTTGCACACCAGATAGGAAAACAGGCCAGCATGTAGGATCGCTTTTTACATATGTTTTTTATCAGCGAGCATGCTGAGCTTGTTTATATGAGTAATATTTATGCAAATATTTTCTAGTGTTTCTCTGAACTATTTTGCCAGGGTGAGGAAATAAAAAGGCTATTATGTTTGCATGTTTTGTTGCAAGATCAGCAGACTGGCTGTTAACGTATCAATTCCCTTGATGACACCACTTCTGCAACCCTATTCACTCAACTTCTCCTGACAGGGCTTTTACTGAATCCATCAACCTGACACATATCAAAGCACAATTTCTGATAACAAATATCTTGGTGTAAAATGAATTAAAAAGCTGATATCAGCAGCAGAACTGAGTTGAATTTCTGAAAGAAAATAAGAAACTCCAAAACTAACATGAGATTCTTAAGATACCAATCACAGAACAGTAATATAATAGTCCTTTGCCTATACTCTTGAAGTACTGAGAAGTCAATGGGTCTGCCCAAAGTCATACAAATAGGCTTGTTCCTGGGCTGTCAGCCTGTGGCTCTGCCTTCTGGATTTTGTAGTGTTGCTTCAGAGAGCATGATGAAATAGTGGTTTATTTTCTTCTGGAGACCTTTCTTCTGTGAGCACCAACGACCTCCTTGTAATTACTTTGCACTCTGGTCTTTGAGAAATTTGGAGACTGAGCGCTGGAAAATGCTAACCAAGATCTGAATGGAGTAAAGCTTCTTTTTCTCAGAAGACGAAGCAGTTTGGAGCCACTTGTCCTCTGCAGAGCTTCTTGGCAGCCCATGGGCCATGACTTGGGCAGAATGCAAACTGGGGTGGAAAAGGGCGTGTGTTTCTTTGGGCTGCAGATGTTTTGAAATTACCTGGCTCAAAACGTTCTTCTGAGAACACGTTTCCATATCTGCTTGCAGCCTTCTCCTATCTGTCTTGCTCTCCCCATCCTGCTTTTCTATCCCCTTCATTTTTGCATCTTTTAGATGATAAGCAGCTTCAGGCAGGGCTGCCTTTGCACTGGTGCTGCTCTCACTGCGCTCAGGCTCTTATTTTTGGCTGGCACCCACTATGAAGTATTAGCTAATAATAATCATGCTTTTTGCTCTGTGGCATGTCTGCTCTTTGGATAAGTATCCACTGGCAGTTTGCATGCTAGCAGAGAGGAAGAGGATGGCGGCCAACAGTTGATGTGGAAAAATAATTATGAACTACCATCCTCCTGCCACGTGGTTAAGGCACTTCTGCTTTCCAAGCTTTACATCCAACCTCGCAGAATAAAGGAGGAGAGTACTGCATTTCCTTCCTCGAATAGTGGGAATGTTGCCAGAACAAAGCTTAGTGGAGAATGTCACATGTGGGACAGATCATTCAGGATGCT